ACTTGGAGGCATGTTTTTGGGCCCAAAGTCATATTGTATGCCGGCAAATACGGTATATTTATTTGGAAGAGTTAAAACTGGTTGCCTGTTTGCTTCTAAGCCTACATCAAGATTCTGGAGCTTAGCTTTAAAGACATGATTTAATACATGAAAGTACCCTCTTCATAAACCAACTGGCTTGTGCTATAAGACCTGCAGATAACACTGTGCACTAGTCAGGGGAAGCAGTCATATTGTATGCCGGCAAATACGGTATATTTATTTGGAAGAGTTAAAACTGGTTGCCTGTTTGCTTCTAAGCCTACATCAAGATTCTGGAGCTTAGCTTTAAAGACATGATTTAATACATGAAAGTACCCTCTTCATAAACCAACTGGCTTGTGCTATAAGACCTGCAGATAACACTGTGCACTAGTCAGGGGAAGCTTGTTATATCAAGAAGATAAAGAGCCTTATCTGTAGTTGAATCCCTTCTTTCAAATACCCTCCTCAGGGGAATAGGATTCGACCTGATATTACTGTACAGACTTTTCAATGGCATGTCCAGACTACTTATTCTCTCAGGCATTGGTGTATTATTTAGTCCACTTTGCTTGCTTTTATTTATCTCTAAATTACTTACAAATATTTTTAATTTGTTTATGTTATTGCATTGTTATGATTAATTTTCTTAATGTCTATCATATGCTACCTAAGGATACAGCATGCATGAAAATATTTTAAATGAATAAATGCTCATGATGGGATTCTCCTTTGGATACACTTCCCCAGCCATTCTGATGTAATATATCATATGTAGCTTAATCAGCATTACTAGATTTGAATTGAGGGGGTATGTGTACTGTATATGAATTACTACAAATAAAATGTTATGTATGTCTCAACAGGTTCTAAGAATCCCCACTTGATCACAAACTGGGGACCAGCAGCCTTCACTGAAGCTGAGCTTGAGCAAAGAGAAAAGAGCTGGAAGGGGAAAAAGAGCGTTTCTGAGCAATGACTATAGAAGAAAATTATTTTTGGTGGCAAGATGAAATCAAATTGCTATATGAAGTAATCTGTATCATCTTATTGTGGAGTGGTTCAAAATTTCCATCAAAAATTCAAACTGTCAATTGCATATTTTCAGTTAATACATTCTCATAACCTTTTATAAGAAAACAAATTACAGGAGAAGCTGTGGGTCAAGATAGCTAGAAGTGTACATTAATTATTTTGGGAATAAAATATGTAGATCAAGCAAGTATGTGTGTTGTGACTTCAGTTGTATATTTGTAGGACAACATGAGCCTATTTACACTCTCTGTTATCTTAGGTGGGTAACAAACAGTAAATTTAAACTTCTCGGTTTGGTGCTGTTATCTTTGGTTAGCAAATTCCATAGTCTCATGACAGCCTGACTCAAATAGTATTTAAAACTTTGTGGCTGAAATGCCCAAGAATTATTTTCGCACAGAGATATACGACGCTTTATCCAAAACAGAATTAAAACAGTAAGTTTTGAATCTTAGAAAGCCTGACAAAATTTGAGAAATGATGAATTGTGGTATGTGAAATGGCACAAGAGCATTCCATGGATTACTGACCATTCAGCAGGATACTGCTAATTATAATTTGGGGAAATTTATTTCTAGGGAGTCTGATTTAAAAATTAATAGCACACTCCTGATCCATTACAACACCTAAACCTCTCAATAATTGAGTTTAAATAATAAAAACATATGTTATATTTTGTAGAGAAAGTGATTTTGTTTTTATATTCCTGCAGCTGCCTACCTTCTGCAAGAATAAATGTTAAATGTTGTAGTGGATGGGGTAGTGATTTTACTCCCTTGGGTTTTCTTAGACATCAGGTTCGAGAATTTTGGTGTACTAAACTCTTTGTGCCAGGCATTGTTTTGAAGAGACATATCTGCTAAGAAATTACCTATAAGAAGCATAAACAAATGCACTTGTTTTGTGCAGATACGTTGCAGACCTGTGTTATCCAAACTTTTCACACCTGGTGCACAGTATTTTTTTTCTGGATTAAAACTGGAGGCACCTTTCACTGTTTACACTGAAAAATGTTTTGCTCCTGGAATAATGGATAGGTATTCTGTCTGTGCGATTGCAGGATAGCATAGTTAATGCTGCTGCTCAGTATTTCACCGCTCCGTAGCCAGTGGGCAAGGTTAACATTGTGCATTCTGGGCAATGTTGATGATTCTGGTACAGTATTTTTTTTCTTGTCCCCAACATGGGTTTTTATGGCATTTTGAAATACCTATACTCTTCATTGGGATTATGTTCTGCTATACATTGGCAGGCACATAAGAATTAGTACTGCATAGGTGCTCCCCATTCTGTGATACAGGGTGGTAGATGGACTTACCATGATGGATTAATTTTCTACAGTATTGTCAAGTTGCATATGATGTGTGAACTAAGTCCTCGGAGCGCCATAATTTATAATATTTCTTGACTATTCAGCTTGCAATGTCTGTCACAATTTATGTGAGGATTTATTATCCACAAACAACTTTCTTCTTCTGGATGTCCTTTAAATACTTTGCTCAAGAAGCACGCAATGTGTTCAGAAGAATTATTCTTTTTCTTTATATTAGTTCACATTTTACTTAATATGCAAGCAGGATTTAAATGTAATAACTTCTCTAAAAAGATGTATGTTGCAGACATAGAAGTCTCAAATATAACAGTCCTAATAAATGAATAAATGAAATCTTAAGGACCTAATGCATTCATGGAATATATATTTAAAATGAATAACTTTAAAATTATAACTATCTTAAAATCTAGCATAAGCAAGTTAATAGTAATATTCAGTTTAAACGTCCATGCTCAGCCAAGCAGAGTATTTCCCTGTGGCTTTTCTTTCCTGCTCTAGATTATGTTACAATGATCTATTGATAAATCTAGGATGTTATTATTTAGCTTTCTATATGTACATTAGTTCATTATCCAAGAAGATTTCTAGGCTAACAAGAGTCAATGGAAAATGTCATAGACTTTGCTTTATTATCAGACAATGGCTTGATAAGATTTGTGTAATAAAATCTCTTATCTCTGTCTTCTTTTACTTTAGCAGACTTCCATTCATTTAACATTGCTCTTCACATGAGTCTGCTATTCAAACAGATAGCATTGGATTATATAGTTTTTTATTTTTTATTTTACTCTAAAATGACCTCTCATGCATATTTAGTATGTTGTTGTTACATACCGTCAAGTTGCCTCTGATTTTTGGCAGCCCTATGAATGTGAGAGATCTCCAAAACATCCTATCCTCGACAGTCCTGCTTAGCTCCTGCAAACCCAAGCCCGTGGCTTCTTTTGCAGCAGGGGTCTCAAACATGGGGCCCAGGGGCCATTTGTGGCCCCCCCAGATGATAGTTTGTGGCCCTCGCCTTGCCTGCCCCCCCCAAAGCGCCCACACATCCTCTGCTGTCAAGAGTAAAAAAAAGCCTTGCCTCGCTCGCCGGCTCTCTCCCAAGACAGCACCTCTTACACCCTCCATCCTGAACTGCAGCCTGCCAGCCAGCCCACATGTCTGTCAGCTAAGGAAACTCCTGGGCGGCTTCCTCGGGCTCTTGCTCCGCTTGGCGGAAAATCTGATGCGGCCCAGCCTCACCCAGACTCTGTCTCTAGCGGCCCCCAGGTAAATTGAGTTTAAAACCCCTGTTTTACAGAGTCAATCCATCTCATATTTTGTCTTCCTCGTGGCACAGTGGTTAAACTGCTGTACTGCAGCTAAAACTGAGCTCATGGCCTGAAGTTCAATCCCAGGTAAACTGACTCAAGGTTCACTCAACCTCCTATCCTCTCAAGGTCAATAAAATAAGTACCCAGTTTGCTGGGGAAGTGGGCAATGTATAGCCTGCATAAATAACTTGTAAACTACCCAGTGCTATGTGGCTGTATATAAGCTGTATATTGCTTTTCCTCTTTCCCTGCTGCCTTCAAGCTTTCTTAGCATTATTGTATTATCCAGAAAATCATGCCTTCTCATAATGTGTCCAACAACTAAATTTTGTTTTAGATGTTAGAGGGGCTCTTATCCCACAAAATCTGTCCTGAGAGCCAGCGAACAGTCAGCTTTCTTTACTGTTCAGCTTTCACAAACATACATGGTAATCGAGAATATGAGGAGGAGGCAACTAAGGAGATACCATGCATCTCTGTCTGACACCTTTTGCTATAGAAAACTACCGTATCTCTCCATACTCTGTCCTAATGGTAGCTTCTTGTCCACAATACAGGTTAAGCATCAGGACAATGCAAATGCTGAGGCACATCCATTTATTTCAGAACAGCCCATAGTTTCTCATGATCCACACTGTCAAAGCATAGACTGTTGTAGTTTATAGATTGTTTTTCTTCTGAAATTCTTTGGTATATTCCAGTAACCAGTGGATATTTAAAATATGCTCTTGAGCGCCTCTTCTCTTTCAAAATCCAGCTTGAACATCAGGCATTTCTTGCTCCATATAAGATAAAAGTCTTCACTGCAATACCTTGAGCATCACTTTGCTCTCATGGGAAATTTAAGTAATGGTTCTATAATTACTGCACCTTTTGGCATCGTCCTTTCAAACTAAAATGTATACTGAACATTTCCAGTCTGTGTGCCATTGGGTTGTTTTTCCATATTTTTTTGGTATAATCTTATTAGGATTTTGACAGATTCAGTCTCTTGAAATAGTTCTATAGATGTTCCATCTACCCTTATTGATTTATTTCTTCCTAGTGCTTTCAGACAAGCTTTCATTTCACTTTCTAGAACTACAGATTCTTCATCAAGGGTTTATCTTCAAAGGAGTCTGTAATCCCTTTATTTCTTTTGTATAGTTTGTCAGCATATTGTTTCCACCTTCTCTGTATTCTGATCAGATACTGTGTTTTCTTGTTGGTGATTCAGACAAATTTCCCTTTGATTTCTTGGATTTTCTGGAAGAGATCTCGTTTTCCTTTTTGTTGTTCTTTATTTCTTTGCACTGGTTATTGTAATAGTTCTCTTTGTCTCTATGGGACACTGAAAAACTGCATTCAAGATTCTATTAAGTATATTGCTACTTAAATTGTCACTTGTTTCCTTTCCCCCCTATTTTTAAGATTACCTCTACGTGTCCTGAAATAACCTCTTCCAGCAGTTCATTACTAATCAAATCTTCATTTAGAATTATATTTCATATTTCAAGAGTTACATTGTTAATAACCTTAACAGAGATGTAAAATTTCCAAAAATTTAATATTTTTCCTTAAAAATGGAAATTTTGAGAAATTTTACGTCTCTATTAATCATAACTTTTTTTATACAAACTATTAAACTGGCAGTTCCCTCCTCCATTAAGTGAGTTTTGGGAAGTCTTATTGGTAGGTTTTCTCCTGCTTATTAGTCCAATTTTTACAATGCTGACATCATAGTTTGTCATTTGAGAATCAGTGGTGCAGACATCTTGCTGTTTTTTTGAAGGAAATAGCCTAATACTGTAATTTCTTCCATATCAGGAAAGGCCCTAGCAATCTGGGTCACTGTGCTTGTGTGCACAGAGGCTGTAGTGGAAAGGGAGATTACCCAGTGTCTGTTGGATTTCAGCATATGTCTGTTACTGCGGGGTCCGCGTCCTGGTAGAGGGCCGTGGCCCTGGCAGGACTGGGCTGCGGAGACAGATCTACCATTCCCCACACGCACTCCCCCTGTGAGTGTGCATGAGCGCACCCCGCCCCCATGCATGCACGCAAGCATGCCCCGCCCGTGAGCGCCCCCTGCGAGTGCACCCCATCTACCCACAAGCATGCCCCCTACATACATGCAAGCATGCTCTGCCCCAGTAAACACCCTCCCCACCACCCGTGTATGTGCGCCCTTGCCCCCATGAGCAAGTGCCCCACCCACCCATAAGCATAAGGGGTGCCCCGCCCCCCGCACATGGACCGCGCCCCCAACCAGTCTGTAGTTGGGAAAAGATTGGGGGCTACTGTGTTACTCGATCCTACCCCAGTTGACTGCTTGTTAACTGTATTATTAACCAACTGTATTTGCTATTCAAACTTGCAATGTTTTCCTATACAGCTAGAATACGAAAGGCAGTGAATATTAAATTATTTGTCTTGATTAATACAAAATTAACAATTTAGATTTATTATATTTGAATGTAGAATAGTATTACTAGATTCTCTGTGCTTTACTACCACAGGAATAATTTTTTATACTCTAGAAGAAGAACAATCCACTCAGTTTTGAAACTCATGGCACTGGAGGCTGATGACTCTAGTGCAGCCATTCTCAACAGGCTCTGGCATATTTGAAGGGGTACATAGTCTAGAAACAATTCTTCCCACACCACTTTATAAAGTTCATTAAGTGATTTACAATCTTGATTCAGCCTATATTTCATATTGGCGTTTATGGCTGTGGACAAAAAAAGATTGAGAATGGCTACTCCAATGTGGCGGGCTTGTGAAGCTATATTGAGGTATCGAAGTGGCTGAGCTCTGCCCCCGAAAGAGGTTCAGAACCTTGGATAACTCCTTTAAATTTTGGATTAACACCTGGAGCAAGTTCACCACCCTTTGACATCAGAATTGCTACCTACCACTGACTCATCACTCCAGTGGTATCACAGAGCATTCTCCATTATTTTCATTTGAGTTTTTAAAAAAAGAAAGGCAGGGTTATCATGTTTTAAATAAATAAATAAATAAATGTGTAGCAAAATCTTTTAAAGTATAAATTATGTGCAATCCAAGATTACAGTATTCAGATTCCTTTGGAATCTTGATAGTCTCAGATAAGAGGAAACAGACTTTTCTGAATTATCTTACAATTTGGTTTCATGAGTTCTTCAGTGGGAAAGCTGAGGAAAAGTCTCCAAAACCTAAAGCACAACAAAATGCATTGCAGGTTTATAGGACAAAAACTGATTTTTGATGCCCCAGTATGGTTTCCAGGCTTCATTTTTTCATTTCCTTGAATATACTCAGCCTCTCCTCACAAGAATCATTTTTGCAATTCCGAAATCTTTTGCTGCTGCCGCCTTCAATTTGGAACTGGTGTAGATCCATTATATTCTTTATTGGCTGTGAGTTGTGTACTGTATATTATGTACAGTGGTGCCTCACTTAACGATTGCCCCGCATTATGACAAATCCGCTTTATGATGATCTTTTTGTGATTGCAATTGTGATCGCAAAACAATGGTCTAAATGGGGGAATTTTGCTTTGCAATGATCGGTTCCCTGCTTCGGGAACCAATTCTTTGCAAAACAATGTTTTTAGAACAGCTGATCGGCGGTTTCAGAATGGCCGCTGGGTAATTAAAATGGCTCCCCACTGTGTTTAGGGACGGATTCCTCGCTATACAGGCAGTGAAAATGGCCACCGTATGGAGGATCTTTGCTGGACGGTGAGTTTTTACCCCATTGGAATGCATTGAAGATACTTTGAAATGAATAGAGTCTGTACATGGTAGTATTAGTTGAAGTGGGGCCACCATGATTTTGGACTTATCAAATAAGAAACAAATATAAAAGGCCACCGTTTTCATTGGTTTTTATGGTTATCTGCTTTTTTAAAAAACTAATTGAAACACTTTTATTTATAAAAATGTTCCTGCAAATGGATGTGTGCATAAATCTTAATGAAACCAATAACTTGATTTTGTACATTAAATACTCTCTTTTTATATTGCTGTTCCATTCCTAACTTAATACAAATACAAATGCTATCATTTTTGTATTAGTTAATATCTGAGATCAAAGTTGGCATGATATTTATAGTGTCGAAATGTTCCAGTTCAGTGTTTAATGCTAAAACATACTGGGTAAGGTACTTTATTATTTTCACTAACTTCTCTAGTGCATTGAGTAAAGTAATTTTAAGTAAATACCAATGGTGTTTTGTGTTTCTGATTTATATTTTTACTACAGCATCTATTAAAATTAAATACGTTTAATGTCTGTGTTTGGTTCGTACCATATTGAGGTTGGGATGGGATAGGTAGCCTTATTATAGGCCTGCCTGGTGAATGGAAAACATCTTGCAGGTTTCAGCTACACTTCCCTTTTAGAAGCGATGTGCTTGT